TGAGACAAGTTCCCCCGGGCCATATTATCGTTTGGCACTTTTTGTGGCCCTTTATAATTCTCTCACTGTGGCATATTTCTATCTGTCGCGTGTTGCTGTTATCATTGTGAAGATTATGTTACTTCCTTCTGATATTCTGCAGCAAGAACAGCAATGGCCTGGTAGTTGGAGATGTTTGGATATTAATTCTCAGCAAATCTTCCTCCTAAAGGGGTCGAAAGGACCGTTCAGACCTCCAACTTTAAATTCTCGATAATGATTTGTAAAAATAAGAATGCCAGATCAATTCTTTATATTATGACATTTAGTCAATATTTTTGGCAAATCTTCAGAAATTTCTTCAGTTCTGGCAATACTGTCTTCAACCAAGTCCCTGCCTGTCAGCTATATTATCCTGTCTGCTTCCGTACTGAGCGAGCGAGGGTATCCCAACCCACCCCAGTTGTACAGTGGGACTCTTTTTTCAGCTAGCTTTAGTATTGTCCGTAGACTGATAATTGTGATAATTACGCAGGTTTATTGGAAATATCTGATTAGTTTTATTAATCCCAACTAACTTTATCTGATAACATGATTAAGTACGGTCGTGGTTCTTGTTGAATGGACCAATACCCGCCTCTCATGCCATTCAATGGCATCGACTGATCAGACGAAAATGTGATGGTAACGGCTTTTTGGCATATATTGCATTAGTTGCCAATGTCGTTTTCACTGAGTGGAATCATGGCTGATGTCAGTCATTTACTATTGCGTCAGTGTTTTATGGTGGACGATAGATGGGAATCGGTTTATAAAATCTGGCCCTACATTTATTTGTTTTCCCAAACAACTGTACATTTATATAAGTAAACGCAACTCTATCAATATCTGCATGGATAATGCATTGATGCTTGCACTCTTTGGGTGTCATTTCGAAGTTCAATCTCCAAACCAGTGTCTCACCTGGACCAGGGAACATCATAGGACCTTGCACTCAGCGACCCACACCCCGTGCTACGGAGCCTCAAAGAATCATGATTTACAGATCAGTGCATCTTGTTCTTGAACTCTCCGTGTTTGGTCTTCTGAGATTTCCAGATGAATTTGATTAGCTTTGGGAAATATAACCAAGGTTGTATTTTCTTATAAAGCAATTAATAAACCTCATTTGATATTACTTAGCCAATAGTTTGCTGCCTAGGGTTATGATTGATTTTGCTCTTTAACCAAAACTTTGATTACCAAACACCGCTCCCGGTTTCAGTATTTGAGTTAATAATCTGTGTGGAAAAAAACAGCATGGCAACAAATGGACTCCGCTCTCACAAGGGTTGGAAAGTGAGAAGCAATAATACAAAAAAATCTTTGGAAAATTAACCTGATTACTTTCATTGCGTCTGGAATAATTTTATATCATATTTATGAGTAAAAGAAAACTGCATAAGCATAATCACCCAAATTTGTCGAAAATGGGACACGCTGTTTAAACGTGGGTCGGCAAAGGCTCTAAACAAGACCTGCTCGGTGACTCTGTTACATTAAGAAGTCGGAATTCGATTCATTAGCACATTAAGTGAATCCTTTTGTCGGAAGCAGACACTCCAACGGTTGCTACCCTTTAATCCATCGCATTAACTTTTCCAGAGAGGAGCGACAAAACTGTTTTTAACGTAGCGTTTGTTAGCGCCATCGTTCCACAAAGATACTAAAGCATAAATGTCAAAGAACTCTGCCGTGCCGAGAAAAGGTATTTGTTCTGGAGACTGATCCGAGCCCTAAGTCCCGAGAACATTTACCTAACATTTGTCTTTTCTGTCACCAATCTCCTTTCTAGTGGTTTCATCTGTTAGTGCTATAGTTCCCCTCCTAACTGATCCATCACTTTTCTATTGGCATCGCGTTTCATCCATAGGCAGGTCTGTAGTCAGTGTCTTGTAATCTTTAGACTGTCCTGTAGTATATGTAGTAGTAATAAAGACAGGATTTATGATAATGATAGCAATGATAATAGTAACAATAGCTATGATAAAATAAAGGTAATGAATGATAATGATAATCATAATAATTATATATAAGGATAATAATAATGATGATAATAATAATAAGAATGGTGATGATATCATAGACTTTATTAATAAATAAAGTCAAGGCTAATGATAGTAGTAATGTTGATAAATATAAGAGCAATAATGAGGATGAGGATGATTACAGTAATGATGATAAGAAGAAAAAAAAGACGAAGAACAACAATAATAAAAATAAAGTTAACAACAACAATAACGATGAAAATAATAGCAGTGATAATGATAATAATAGTAATAATAATTTCCATTATAATGATAGTGATGATAATACTAGTTGTGGTAATTGTAATGATAATGACAGTGATGATAATGATGATAATAATAATAGTGATAATAATACTAATAATGATTATCATAATTACAGTACTGATAATGATTATTACGATAATGATAATAATAGTAATAATAATTTCCATTATAATGATAGTGATGATAATACTAGTTGTGGTAATTGTAATGATAATGACAGTGATGATAATGATGATAATAATAATGATAATAATAATAGTGATAATAATACTAATAATGATTATCATAATTACAGTACTGATAATGATTATTACGATAATGATAATAATAGCAGCAACACTAAAATAGTGATGATATTGACCATATAAAATTCATATAATTCTAATAATCATAATCATAATATTAACTGCATAGGAAATAATGATCATAATAACAAGTGTGATAGTCAAGATGATGATGATAATAACAATAAGAGCAATAATAAATCTCCTAGTGACAGAATAATAGTAGTAATGATAATAATAATGATCACAATTATAATAAGAATGGTGATGATATCATAGACTTTATTAATAAATAAAGTCAAGGCTAATGATAGTAGTAATGTTGATAAATATAAGAGCAATAATGAGGATGAGGATGATTACAGTAATGATGATAAGAAGAAAAAAAAGACGAAGAACAACAATAATAAAAATAAAGTTAACAACAACAATAACGATGAAAATAATAGCAGTGATAATGATAATAAAGGCTTACTTACTTACAAATGATAATAATGATAGTTATAACAGTGCCAATGATAATGATGATGATGCAAAAGTTATAGTATTAATGATAATGATAATAATAGTAATAATAATTTCCATTATAATGATAGTGATGATAATACTAGTTGTGGTAATTGTAATGATAATGACAGTGATGATAATGATGATAATAGTATGATAGTTATAATGATACAGAAATTACTACTGCAAGTAGTAGTAATAATAGTAGTAGTAGTAGTAGTAGTAACGATGATGTAATAATGATAATAACAATAATAATGATAATAATGATAGTGATAATAATAATGGTAATGATAATAATAATTATTATTATAGTAATAATGAAACTAATAACAATATCACCATCGTTTATAACACTTTTGATACTAATGTAATAATAATAGAAATGGCATATCACTATCACTAACTCGGAAAATATTTGAATATGATATTGAAAATAATCATAAATGTAATTATATCACAAAAACATTATCCCCTTCAAAACGTATTCAGTTAAGAACATGTTATGAAGACAAAAGAGAAAATAAAAATGCGCAGGAAAGAGTATTAAGAAAAGAATTTTAATCCTATAGTCGCCTGAGAGTTTAACCACACCCCCCGCCGGTGACGTCATCGCCGCCGGATTCGCGGATTCCTTCCGGATTCACGCTGGCCGAACGCTCTCGCAGGGAGGCCAGAGAGGAAGTGAAAAACACGATAAGTAAACATTTGAGGAAAATCGAAATAACAGCCAAGTAAATGACCTCTTTAGGGAAGTAAATAACGCATTAAGGGGCCTGGGAAGCGAGGAAGCTGGAGATAAGGACGGGGGGTGAGTATCTAAGGGCTATCTAAGAAAGTATCTAAGTATTTTAGAAAGGATGGCATATTAAAAAAAAAAAAAAAATTGTGGATAATTAACGCAGATTTTTTTTTTATTGGAGTCCGTCTTGATATTTTCAGAGATTTCATTACATGAATTTTGATTGTCTATGGTGTTATGGTTTTATTTTTTCTCTTGTGATTTTGTCTTTCTCCCCCTCCCTTTGGTGTTTGTCTTATTCAAAGAGTTGTTTTCTTCTTGTTTTTTTTTCTGGTTATTATTTATCATCGTATTTTTGCTTAACTCGTTTCGTAGATGAACGCCATTTGTTTTTGCCCATCATTATATTTATCTGGTATCTTTAACTTTTATGATGATGATAATGATTGAGCATTTCTCTTCTCCCTGTCACTTTCTTTCATTGCGAGGCATTTGTTGCTGTTTATAATTCAGTCTTGTTAATTCCTTCCTCGAATGATCAGAGACGTACTGGTATTTACGAGAGGAAATGTTTGTAATGATAGTAACGTTAAGAAATGGTTAAGGAAAAGATGTTCTGGTCATGCAAAATGTTGGAGTAGTTTTGGACTTTCATTTCCCGGCATTATCGTTGCGAATGTGGAGTATGAAATTGACAGGTTATGATTGAAAGCAAAAGTAGAGTTGATTTTGTCTTGTGTAATTAGCTACATGATGGGAACTTGTGAAAATCCGGAAGTAGGAATCCATTTGATATTTTTATTTTTATTTTTTCAGTATCAAAATGTGATGGTTTATATCTTTCACTGGTTTTCCTAATAGAAAAAGATCATTTGTACAGGGAACAATTTGCATTAAAATATTCAGGTAGTTAAAGATGAAATGATAGTTATAGATGAGCAGAGACGAAGTAAAAAAAGTAAAGGACATTACAGAACAGAACAAGTAAAATGAAGTTAAAAATTATGCATCCCTAATTTTCTTGTCATTTCAACAGGAAATGGAATCACAGATCAAGTTTGTATTTACATTTGAAAGAAGAATCAGGAGATGAGATGAAAGAAATAGTAATTCTTTACAGTACAGACACACTTGCCAGAGACCATGTCCGCAATTCCATGTCACAATTTATTCTTAGTTGCTGTGACTGGGTATGCCCTTTGGGCACTGCCCGAGGAGAGGATTGATAGCGGCTCTGCCCTCCAGCATCCCTGCAAGACATTATTTTCAACTCGGTATACATGGCAAGAGAGTGGACTTAGGTTATGAGTGATGCTTTCTTTGATCTCCTTCCTTTATTTGTGGTGTTGTTGTTCATGTCTGCAGAATATTTCTTGTATCAACAACTGCAGCTTTTAGTCCTGTACAAGAATACCATCTTCAATTTACCTTAGTTTAGTGTATCCATACCATAAAGATTAACCAAAGAAATTTTAGAAACAGTAAAGTAACCAATTTCTGATTTATTCTTAGGTAGTGTGTCTCAGTATCCTCAGGGCTCGATAAGTTAGATCAGAGGTACTCAAAGTGGTTTATATCAACTCTCCACAGGGTCAGTGACCTACCAAACAATCAATAGGTAACTGTGATGGCTAGGGGGTCTAAAGGAGATCGACAAATAGTCAGGCCAGGGACGTGTTCAAATTGTTTGAAAATAGTAGTGGTAAGTATATAAAACATGAAAGATCTGTTGAAGATTCAATAAAGTTTTGGGAGTATTCTTAGGCTCATAGAACTCCATTGATGATCTTAGTGTTTGTTAAGGTCTGTTTACATAAGGGTTGAATTGGCCACCCAACCAGTCTGTGGACAGTCATAGGCATACACTTTCATATGCCCCTTAATGCATATTTTCTCATTCACACACAATATATGTGTGTGAGAGAATATGAGAAATTGTATGACCATCCATGAGCAGCAGAGTTCTGTGTAGAGCTGCTATTTATACCATTGTTAGATAGAGAGATTAACCATCCATATTCTGTACATCTGTACTATGCTCCTTTTACCATGTATGTCCTTACAGCATGAAGGTAATGGGTAATCTTTATGGTATGGACGCACTAAGCTCGGGCAAATTGAATATGATATTCTTGTAAAGGATAAGAAGTCATAGTTGTTGATAGAAGAAATAATCAGGAGACTAATGGAAATGCCACAAATAAAGGAAAAAGATCACAGAAAGCGCACTCATTGCTCCGAAGCTTCTGCTCCATCCATAGTGAGGCGAGAATGATGTTTCTCGGGGTTTTGGGGGGCAGAGCCTAGAGCGTTGAATAGATTTTGAGGTTTGAAGTAGGGGACTTACTGTAAAGAATTATCAAAATAATAGCTGTGTATATATATATAATTTTTAGTGCATTTGTTAGATCTTTTCTATTGCAAGATCGTCAAGAGAAGAAGAATATTGTGTTAGACAGGTGTCAGAATAAGAATTGCTAAAAATAGATTTTAACCCATTAAAAAATGGGGAAAATGCTGTACTCATTTTTTATATTTTTTGTGAAATATGTGCATAGATGGCTCTGCTAGTCCTGATTTCACCTATCCTTGAATTTGCGGGAAAAAACATATTCTTACTAGTGCTATAAATATAGATGGTGTTATTTTTTAACTGCAAATTAGGATAATGTTAAATATTTTCGTAAATCGATGAAAAGGGTGAATGGGTGAGACAGGCAGTACTCATAATTGGCTCACTGGTGACTTAGTATAAGTGTAGCCATCTATGTGTAAAAACAATCAAACAAGTCGACTCACAGTGGGTATGGCATGTACGTACATGCCATCCCCGACGGCATTGGTTTGATAATAAGATATTCAGGAAATAGCCATGTTCAAAATGCTTTGAATATTTGGTCAATATCTAGCATGAAGCCTCCTAGAGTTATAAAAAATTATATGGTAGCCATAATGAAGATTTGATGGTAGATGATGCTATAGCCTGGAGGCATCACTTGATACAATCCTATCATGTAAGATTACCTATAGATGTGGAAGCTGTAGCTAGAAGATAGTTACAGAAAAGGTATCATCTTGTGAACTTTTTTCTTTTAAAATTTAGCTCCATTTCTAATCAGAACTTTGTCTTATAAATGAAGTGCAAATAAACTAATCTCAAAATAAAATATTTCATCTTACAGCATAATCAGCTATTTATTTCTGATAGTACTGCTATTGTTATAATTTGATTTCTTCATTATTGATACTATTTCAGTTGCTATTTTTGATGTTAGGAGTAAAAATGATCTCTTAGAAATGAAAGTATGTTATTATGAATAATACTATTATTGATATTATATCAAGAATATGAACATAGCATGTTTATGAATTTTTTTCTTTGAAAGGAATTTTTTTTATTTTGTTTTACAATGAATATGCCAGTGATTTTTTTCTATTTAGCAATGGAAATCAGGACATTAATATGCTTGGTTTAATTATTACCAGTTTCTTAGTTTATAACCATATCATGTGCCTCTGTCCTCCCCAGGTGAAGGCCCAAGGGTTGCAGGTGTTATCTCCACCGCTACCCCACCACCCCTCCCCCTTCCTCCCCCCGACCCTGAACTGCCATGCCGCGCTACCTGCAGCCAGAGGAGGCCACGGCCCGTGACCTGGAGAGAGGCAAGGCCGTGCGCAGGTTCTCTCACCGGCACCGGCCTGAGCATGGCACGCTCAAGATCCGGAGAGAAACTGGCCACATCATATGGGTTGGCGCGCAAGGCGTCAGGGAGGTTGTCAGTGAGTTACGACGAATTTCCTTTTAGTTTTATGTCCAAAAGAAGTGTAAGCTCTCCATATCCTTCCCTTTTTTCAGATTTGTTGTGTTTTATATTTTGTGTCTTTTAATTAGGGTGCTTTATATTTACCCATTTCCCGTGTTATTTGATTTTAGGCAGTTTCCTGAAAATCAAGTGTATTTCATTACAAGAAAAAGAAAAGAGAATAAAAGTTGCCCTAATATATTTTATGCTGCTTTTTCTTAATTTCTTTATCACTTTATCACTGTTTAACTTTTACAATAATAATAGAAAAGCAAGATTTTTTAGATTAAATGTGAAAATTGTTCTGCTTTACCCAGCTTGAGAGTAGTTAAAAAAATAGATTTTAACCCATTAAAAAATGGGGAAAATTGCTGTACTCATTTTTTTACATTTTTTTGTGAAATATGTGCATAGATGGCTCTGCTAGTCCTGATTTCACCTATCCTTGAATTTGCGGGAAAAAACATATTCTTACTAGTGCTATAAATATAGATGGTGTTATTTTTTAACGGCAAATTAGGATAATGTTAAATATTTTCGTAAAATCGATGAAAAGGGTGAATGGGTGAGACAGGCAGTACTCATAATTGGCTCACTGGTGACTTAGTATAAGTGTAGCCATCTATGTGTAAAAACAATCAAACAAGTCGACTCACAGTGGGTATGGCATGTACGTACATGCCATCCCCGACGGCATTGGTTTGATAATAAGATATTCAGGAAATAGCCATGTTCAAAATGCTTTGAATATTTGGTCAATATCTAGCATGAAGCCTCCTAGAGTTATAAAAAATTATATGGTAGCCATAATGAAGATTTGATGGTAGATGATGCTATAGCCTGGAGGCATCACTTGATACAATCCTATCATGTAAGATTACCTATAGATGTGGAAGCTGTAGCTAGAAGATAGTTACAGAAAAGGTATCATCTTGTGAACTTTTTTCTTTTAAAATTTAGCTCCATTTCTAATCAGAACTTTGTCTTATAAATGAAGTGCAAATAAACTAATCTCAAAATAGAATATTTCATCTTACAGCATAATCAGCTATTTATTTCTGATAGTACTGCTATTGTTATAATTTGATTTCTTCATTATTGATACTATTTCAGTTGCTATTTTTGATGTTAGGAGTAAAAATGATCTCTTAGAAATGAAAGTATGTTATTATGAATAATACTATTATTGATATTATATCAAGAATATGAACATAGCATGTTTATGAATTTTTTTCTTTGAAAGGAATTTTTTTTATTTTGTTTTTCAATGAATATGCCATTGATTTTTTTCTATTTAGCAATGGAAATCAGGACATTAATATGCTTGGTTTACTTATTACCAGTTTCTTAGTTTATAACCATATCATGTGCCTCTGTCCTCCCCAGGTGAAGGCCCAAGGGTTGCAGGTGTTATCTCCACCGCTACCCCACCACCCCTCCCCCTTCCTCCCCCCGACCCTGAACTGCCATGCCGCGCTACCTGCAGCCAGAGGAGGCCACGGCCCGTGACCTGGAGAGAGGCAAGGCCGTGCGCAGGTTCTCTCACCGGCACCGGCCTGAGCATGGCACGCTCAAGATCCGGAGAGAAACTGGCCACATCATATGGGTTGGCGCGCAAGGCGTCAGGGAGGTTGTCAGTGAGTTACGACGAATTTCCTTTTAGTTTTATGTCCAAAAGAAGTGTAAGCTCTCCATATCCTTCCCTCTTTTTCAGATTTGTTGTGTTTTATATTTTGTGTCTTTTAATTAGGGTGCTTTATATTTACCCATTTCCCGTGTTATTTGATTTTAGGCAGTTTCCTGAAAATCAAGTGTATTTCATTACAAGAAAAAGAAAAGAGAATAAAAGTTGCCCTAATATATTTTATGCTGCTTTTTCTTAATTTCTTTATCACTTTATCACTGTTTAACTTTTACAATAATAATAGAAAAGCAAGATTTTTTAGATTAAATGTGAAAATTGTTCTGCTTTACCCAGCTTGAGAGTACTTTCTTTTTGTTGATAAGAAATTGAGATATTGCACCTTTTTTTTTTCTTAACACTTCAATTTTATTTTTTGTGCATAGACATGTAATTCTTGTTAAACTTCAATGCATTATTTTGTTCTGCCATTTATTTAGTTTCTTGCTTATGATATCTCCATAATTTTTTAAAATCTTGAATTTTATCTGAATTATATGAATTATAAAAAGAAGTAACTTTCTTGTTAAATTGCATGTTGCATGTTCTCAGTTCTCTCTCTCTCTCTCTCTCTCTCTCTCTCTCTCTCTCTCTCTCTCTCTCTCTCTCTCTCTCTCTCTCTCTCTCTCTCTCTCTCTCTCTCTCTCTCTCTCTCTCTCTCCCCCCCCCCC